ACAGGGTCAAATAGGAAGAAGGTCCAAATAAAAGAAAGGGAGGGACCTGGCTGGGCAGCTTAGTTGGTTAGAGAATCATCCAAATACACCAAGGCTGTGGGTTCACTCCCCAGCCGGAGCACATACAAGAATCAGCCAATGAAGGCACAAATAAGTGGAACAACTAATCAGTGTCTCCCTCCCTTCCTCTCTTTCTAAAAATCAATTGTAGAAAAAAGTAAGGGAGGGAAGCAGAAGAGGCAAATCTCAGAACATATGAGGTCATCTTTTTTGTTGTGGGTTTTGTTTTTTTTTTGAGGGCATCTATTTTTTTTTTAATGTGTTTATTGATTTCAGAGAGAGGAAGGGAAAGAGAGTTAGAAACTTCAATGATGAGAGAGAATCATCCATCTGCTGCCTCCTGCAAGCCCCCTACTGTATTTTTGTAAGTTAACACTTAATCCAAAAAGCAATGAAAATGTGAACTACAGGTTTAACATCCAGCCAAACTGATCTTCAAGTATAAAGTCTAGAGAGAGATGGTCAGGTAGAATAATCCTTACCTGTATCTCCTTTTTTAAAAATGTCTTTATTTTATTATTTTTTTGCTTTGTTTTGTACAAAACCATGTATTATTTCCCCCCCTCACAAAATCGAGTGGCTGTATTACAGAAACAAAACCAGATCAAAGACATGAAAAGGAAAAGGTCACTACTTATACTGAAAGGTAACAGTGCTAAGAATTTGGGTTCTGTGTAGAATTGTCACCAGCGCAGTAAAAATATTCCCACCCGGATCTTTTTTTTTTTAATCTTTAATTTCTTTATTGGTTAAGGTATTACAAATGTGTCCTCATCCCCCCGCCCCCACCCGGATCTTTTAAACTTGAAAGTGATCACATTAAAAACCTGAGGTTACAAGGGACCACAGTATGAACCAGAATTTCATTTTCCTTCTAAGACCCCAGTGGAAAAGGTATGTATTTGGAATGAGTTTCCGTTGGGAAAAACTGGCCATTGTCAGAAGGCACTGGGGTTGTTCTGGAGGCAAACGCATGGGAACTCAACGCCAGAAGCAACAAGCTCACTCCCATCCGAGCCCCCAACAAACGCAAGGAGCAAGGTCCTGGCTCCAGTGCCCAGGGGACCAGGGCCGCCTGGTCAGAGGCAACACTGAGGGCTTGAAAGGCAAATCTTCACTGTGGTTTTCTCTTATGTTATTTGCTTTCTGATGTTAAGGGGAAAGTTCTAAGGTGTTTACAAACACCTACCTATACCCTCTCATATGTAAAGCTTATACAACGGGTAGAAAAGATCCCCAAAAGATGTTCCACTGGCATTCTGGCTGCAACTGCCATTAGAGACTGTGAGGGGAGGGGCAGGGGCTCTGGGCATGGAATGGGGACAGCGATCCCACACCTACGCAGGGCAGGGAGGCCAGTGGAGAAACCAAGAGTCTCAAGTCATCTCCTCAGCAGTAGGAGTGGGCTCCGGTCAAGGCATTGCCGCGGCTCTTCCTCTGGGATGGCGTCCCACCCCGGCTGGCCGAGCACCTGACCCTCCAGCACACGCTCTGTTGCCATGAGCTCCGTGACCTGACCCGGCGTCTCCTCGCCGGAATGTGGGATCTCAGAGCGGGAGGGGAAGGCACGAGGCCCGGCAGGCCCCACCTCACTCAAGTCCACTCGCCCTGGTGCTGCAAGAGGCAGCGTGGGGACCTGCCCCCGGCCAGCCTCGTCATGAGCTAAATGTCAGCACCATCTACTTCCTTTTTCTTAGGTTTTCTTTATTTCTAAGAGAAAAAGAATGCACACAAGCAGGGAACAAGTGGGCCAGTTCACAGGGTGGCGTTGCCCTGGCCCAGAACCTTCCTGGCCGGTCCCAGGGACGAAGGGATGCCCCTCCGGCGCCCCCAGGCCAGCCCTCCAAGCTCAGGCTGCCTCGGCAAACAGAAACACCCACCGCAACCCAGCCAGTCACCCCAGTGGCCCCGGCGGGGAGGGTGCGGCCTGTGCTCCCTCCCGGCGCTAAGGGCGATCTGCGGGCGGGCGGGCGGGCAGGGCGCGGCCGGAGTCCTCACTAGAGAGAAAGCCCAGGGGGTCCCTTCCCCGTCCTTTGATTCGGGCGCCTCTTTGGGCGGCCAAAGCCTCGGAGGCGTCACCATCAGCGCGTTCTCAGCTCAGATAAGCAGGAATAAGGCCACTAGCAATGCCTTAGGGCTGTCCCTGCTGGCTGTCCCTCTGCCCACCACCAGATTGGTTCCTATTAACTTTGAATGCTCTCCCTTAAAGCAATGAAGGAAGTAAAAAGAAATGATTAGAAAACGTTATCCACAGAGGCGTAAGACAAAGCAAGACCGCGGGACAACCGAAATGATAGAGCCAGGAACGCCCACACCAGCACAGACACAGCTAGCATGCCCAGGGCACACCGTCACCGGGGAGACCTCACACCACGGGGGCCGGGGCTGGAGCGGGGAGGCCAGCGCAATGGGGAGCGGGAGATGGGACGCGTGCTTGGCCCGTGAGAAGGAAAACCCTGAAAGAGACCAGGAAGCTGAGGAATGTGTCTGATGATCCCCTGCGGCGGGCGGCGGGCGGGGGTCGTGCGCTCCCAGCAGCCCCCAGGCCAGGGCGCGGCGGGGGGCCGGGGGGCGGGGCCTGGAGCCGGAGGCAGAGGGACTCGGTCTGCAGGCGGCGGGGATACGTGCCATTGGGGGTCGTGAGGGTGACCCAGGGTCCTAGGATGCTTCCTGGCATATGGCGGCATCCCAGCAGGGGCGGGGCCCTCCGGGCGGGCGGGGGGGGGGGGGGAGAGTGATGCTGGCTGCGACCGTGGGAATCGCGCGGCCTGGCGGGGGCTGCCCCGGATCCTGGAACCTGGGCCTGGAATCTGACCTGGCTGGGGCGGGTGGGGCGGCGGCATCTGCTGCTGCATCAGAGGGTAGGGCGGGGGCTGCTGGTGAGGCAGCATGCGGGGTGCCCTGCTGCTCCCAGGGGCGCCAGGCCCGGCCTCCCGTGTGCTGGTGGCCCTGTGCAGGGTTCTGCCCCTGCTGCTGCTCCATTTGCTGGCGGGCTCGCAATTCCCGCATTTCAGGTGCTCCCTGCGGAAGTTCTGGCGTCCAGTGAGCAGCTGCTGCCTCTGCTGCTCTAAAGCCTCTTTCTCTCTGTCCAGGATCGTCTCCAGCTCCTCGAAATGCCGGAGTTTGATCTTTAGTTTCTTCACCCGTGTCTCAACCAGCAGCGCGAACAGGGACTTGATCTTTCTCTCCCACGGCAGCCAGGTGCTCGGCTTTGGTTGCTGCTGAGGGGAGAGCAGCTGCTGCGGCCGTGGCTACGTGTCCTTCGGACACCTCATGTTCTACTTTCTTCTTCCCAATTTCGCTTTCTCTTCCTTTACAAGTATCAGTGAGTTCCTTGTTCTCTTCAGACTCCTTTTCCTCTGACTTGACGTCCTCACTAACTTCACGATCCTGTTCCTTCTCGCTGTTCTTCTCATTGTCTCCATCTTGGGCTGTATCACCTTCATCCGCTTCGTTTTCCCCTTTGTTTTCTGCCTTTTCAGGCTGCTGACCATCAGCATCTGTTTCCATTTTTTCCTCTTCAGCTCCTTCAAGCTTTCCCGGCTCCTCGGGCCGGGCCTGCGATGCAGGCTCTCCAGGCCGCAGGTGGGATCCACTTTCCCAGAGGCTCGAGCTGCTGCTTGTACTTTCTTGACATGAGCTTCAACCAGTTCCAAGGGCACCTCCTCCCGACCGAGAAAACTCCTCCAAAGCCGCTTTAGCTGCAGCAGATGCCACTGGAGCTCCACCTCAGATGCCAGAAAGGCTACCTGCTCATGACGGGTTTCCTAACTGGCTGAAGGGGACCGGCTGGGATGCCAGGACCCCAGGAAGGCATCAGAGTTCTCCAGGTGCGGCTCCTCCTCGATGGGGAGCTGCAGGAAGTGGAGGGTGCACTCATCCTGAGTCCAGCTGCCCACGTGCTCCGACACTTTGTCCCAATCCATGTACATCTCCAGGCCTCCAGCAGCAGCAGGGCCTCCTGCTGCGTCCGCTCCCTTCCAGCGCTGGCACCTTTACTCTTTACAAGGTTTTTTTTTTAGTAAATATCAGTATGGAGACCAAAGTTCTGCAAATCAATTGGTTTTTCTTTGTTCTCCTCAGGAAAATTTAACATCTGCTGAGCAGCAGGGACCTGAGGTGATCGAAGGTGTAGAGCAGGGGTCTTCAAAGTTTTTAAACAGGGGGCCAGTTCACTGTCCCTCAGACCGTTGGAGGGCCGGACTATAGTTTAAAAAAAAACTATGAACAAATTCCTATGCACACTGCACATATCTTATTTTGAAGTAAAAAAACAAAACGGGAACAAATACAATATTTGTATTTGCATGTGGCCCGGGGGCCGTAGTTTGAGGACCCCAGTGTAGAGGCACCAGCCCAGAGCGGGTATCAGCCAGCACATTGAAGTGAGGCATAGCCCCATCGCCATGGGCTGGCTTTCCAGGTCCACTTGTTAATTAACAAGGCCCCACTGCTCTAGGAAGGCATGAACCCTCATCACAGCACACACATCTCCGGTCAAGTTCCTCTGACAAGCGGTGCTGGTCAGATATTCTTGGGGGTTCAGGCGATATTTTATTATTATTTTTAAATATATTTTTATTGATTTCAGAGAACGAGGGAGGGAGAGAGATAGAAACATCAATGATGAGAGAATCATGGATAGTCTGACTCCTCTACGCCCCCCACTAGGGATTGAGCGCACAACCCTGGCATGTGCCCTTGACTGGAATCGAACCCAGGAACTTTCAGTCCACAGGCTAACGCTGTATCCACTGAGCCAAACCAGCCAGGGCTTTTTACTGATTTTAGAGAGATAGGAACACCAATGTGAGAGTGGAACAACAATCGACTGCCTCCTGCACACCCCCTACTGGGAATCGAGTATGTGCCCTGACGGGGAATCGAATCAGCAATCTTTCATTGCATGGTGCACGGGACAACGCTCAACCAACTGAGCTACACCAGCCAGGCACCTGTTCTTCCTTTTAGAGGACAGATTAGAACATGATGATTGGAGTTTGCATTATTCATGATTAGTGTCTGCGTAATCAGGATTTACAATACCCTGATTGCTCCTGAGTCTTAAGAAAAGAAAAAATTATAATAAACAAGTAAATAAGTAAATGCTATAGAGAAACTAGGAATATTGTAAAAACTCAGACTACTGTTCTTTCTGAGAAATCAACCAAAGAAAAATATCAAAGTCAAAAAATCAAGTATGGAAATAAAGTGAGCTTTTTACTGGTAAGCTTGGTGGCGGACACACCCAGCTTTCTATTTGTCTCAAAACTCTTCTGAGCATTAGAAATATTTTCTAATTACAGCATCAATTAAGACCAGAAGGCTTTGTCACTTATGAGTGGGTAACATAGGGAAAGTTACCTAACTTTTCTGTGCCTCCTCGGAAAAAATGGGATAATAGTCTCTACCCCGTACATTAAATATGTTACTATTTAAAGCTCTTTTCCCCAATATTTTTATTTACTTTTAGAGAGAGGAAGGGAGAGGGAGGGAGAAAGATCCATGTGGGAGTGAAACATTGATTGGCTGCCTCCTGCATGTCCCCTACTGGGATCAAGCCTGCAACTAGGGCATGTGACCTGTCCAGGAATCAGACCAGCAACCTTTTGGTGCACAGGACGACACCCAACCAACTGAGCTACACCAGCCAGGGTTATAAAGCTCTCTTAAAAACACACAGCAAAAGATTGTTTGTTAAGTAAGTTAAATATTTTAAAGTTCCTGGATTAAAAATAATAAAGTTTACAAAGGTATAAGAAGAATCCTGGTAGTATATACTTGAACAGAGTGTTAGGAACAATGATTATAATGTCAAATTGTTTCCAGTTATCAAAAAAGGACCCACCATCTGATTAAACAAAATAATAGAATTGGAAGAAAGCTGCACAGATCCAATGATATTCAGCGTATTTCTAGAAGACACTACTGTGCGCTGCAGGGCTCAATTTCCATTAGATTAAACCCTTTCTTCACTCCAAGTTTGCAACTCAGGATAATTTAAGATGTGCTAGAAATACTTGCTGCATTTACAATGGACATCTGAGCAAGTAACAAATGATTCTAGCTCTCTCTTTTTTTTTTAGCTATAAATTTCAGTAATTTAACTAAATATACCTCAGGTCACAAATAAAGTGTGGGCTATAAAAGTAACCACAAAGGGTGATTTCATCATAAATTTCTAACAGGGCAGTCATGGTGGATAGTCATACCTCAGTCCTGTAACTTGCCTAAATGAAAGGTTATCTTTGCATTAAGCAATTCATGTCCATTGTTTTTTGTTTTGTTTAGGCTTTTGAAATGCCTCTATATCAGACCCACTCAATCAAACCACTCTCAGGAGGGCACATAATCTTGTTAATGATTCAATCCCTGCCTTGCTTTCTCCCACCTTCATATAATAATCTTTTTTTTTAAAATATATTTTATTGATTTTTTACAGAGAGGAAGGGAGAGAGATAGAGAGTTAGAAACATCGATGAGAGAGAAACATCGACCAGCTGCCTCCTGCACATCTCCTACTGGGGATGTGCCCGCAACCCAGGTACATGCCCTTGACCGGAATCGAACCCGGGACCCCTCAGTCCACAGGCCAACGCTCTATCCACTGAGCCAAACCGGTTTCGGCAATAATCTTAATTCCAAATGTATAAAAGAGCCCTGGCCAAGGAGGGTCAGTTGGTTGTGCGTCATCCTGTGCACCAAAAGGTTGTGGGTTTGATTCCCTGTCAGAGCACATGCCCAGGTTGTGGGCTCAATCCCGGGTGGGAGGCATGCAGGAGGCAGCTGATCAATGATTCTCTCTCATCATTGATGTTTCTACCTCTCTCTCCCTCTCCCTTCCTCTCTGAAATCAATAAAAATATTTTTAAATAAATAAAAAATAAATTAAAATTAAAATGTTCAGTGGTTGGAGCACCAGCCCTCACATGGAAGCATCTCAGGTTCAATTCCTGGTGAAGGGCATATACCTGGGTTGCAGGTTGATCCCCCATCAGGTGGGGTAAGTGCAGGAGGCAACCACTCGATGTGTCTCTCACATTGATGGTTTCTCTCTCTCTCTCTCTCTCTCTCTCTCTCTCTCTCTCTCTCTCCCTAACTTCCACTCTCTCTAAAAATCAATGGAAAAAATATCCTCGGGTGAAGATTAAAAACAATAAAAATGTGTAAAAGAAACGAGCATTTGAGATCTTGCTTCTTGGCATTGTCATCAGTTTGGCTCAAACTCATAAAAATTCTCTGTAAGTTTGGACCTTTTTGCATAGACAAAAGTATATCCTAACAATGATGATTTAAATGTTTCGAGGGCCTCATTTATGATGTCCATCCATTTTGCATATGACATTATACATAATATAATGTTTCATTTTAATGAAAGACTACTGCTAACACAGCCTGTAAAAATACATTGAAAAATTGTTTGTTGAACTGGATGTGGTCTTTGGCTTGAGCAATTTCCTCCTCCTCTCCATTCACGTCTTTGCCCAGTAAGCATCTGCAGACTTCTCTTCCACGTGGCACTCCCACAGCTCCAGCCATCCGGGTGGGACATCTTGAGGCCTCCAATCTGCATAGATGGCTGCCGCCCACCTCGCTCTCTCCCTCCCTGTCCTCCCTGGCAACTACTGCCTAGACTGCTCCTTCGCTCTTCTGGACAAACTGGGGGTGCTTTGTTTCCATAAGCGTGAGCTCCCGGGGCGTAAAAACTGGAGCTCACCGTTCTTTTTCTCTTGCTTTTGGCCCAATCAGTCCTTCCTTGGTGAATTACATTTTACTTCCAACAGACACAAACTTGGCTTTAACAAAAGCAGCGCCCTGTTAGGTGACAGTGGAATGTTTCCTGGGCCATGGGAGGGCCCGCTGGGAGCCCGCAGACCTCTGGAGGTCACTCACCCCACCCTGGCTGGGAAGTGTCCCCTCCCGCCGCCGCCGCCGCCGCCGCAGCGGGCGCCCTCGGCCGGCCGCCAGCCGCTCCCCTCTCGGACCTCGCAGCTGGGCCCCTCCACACCGCGGGGACAAAGGGGCTTGTGTCCTGCCGGCGCCAAACGGCCTCTACCCGGGCTGGGCGGAGCGCGCCCGCATGTGACCCTGTGAGCGGCCTGCGCCTGGGGCCGGTTGGCTAGTGGCTGCAGTCTCCCCAGCCTCCCGAGACCCCAGCCTTCACCCCTGTGGGAGTCTCCCCGGGGCGATCCCGTGGGTAGAACGTCCCCAGCGGCAACCGCGTGTCCCTCCCAGGATTTTTTAGCGGATTTGAGCCAAGTTCAGGCACCGCCGTCTGGGTGGGAATGTGACATTCCTTTCATCCAGTTCATGATCCAGGGGCTTCCTCCACCGCTCCGCTTTCGGGAGGGCCCACGCAGCTGCTCCCTTCGCTCCCCCCAGGTCGTTTCTGTTTTTGTTTTTATTTAGGTTCACACACTTTTGAGAAGCCGCTTTATCAGGCGCCCTCAAGCAAACCACCTCAAGGGTAAGAGTGCACATAATCCTGTCATCTTCCGGGAAGAAGAGGCGGGCCTAACCTTTACATAACTTGCCTACACGCCAGGACAGTGAAATAAATATTATTTTCCCATTCTGTCTTTCCATTCTTAGAAAACTGAGGTTAGAAGTTTTCCCCTCTGCGCCCTAGGCTCTGGTTAATAACTTCTTTGTTCGCCAAATCCTCCAGTTACAAACTTTACTAGACTCTTCCTTTCGCTTCACTCACACCATTCATTTAATGTCTACTCATAGGGAACTTGTTAAAGAAACTGCCTAATATTTAAAGCTGCATATGTACAGCTAGGGGAAATCTTCATATTGTAGAGGCTCTGTAGGGTATACTAGATTTGAATTGCATATATAAAATGAAAACAGTAATGGTTCCTAATGCACAGGGTTGTTGTGAAGATTAAATGAGTGAAAGTACTTAGAACAATATCCAGAATGTAGACCATTAGCCATTTACTTATACGTATTGTTAATAAAAAAGAACAAGGGGCAAAAGAGCATGTACAATAAATTTTTTAATATTTTTATTGATTTCAGAGAGAGGAAGGGAGAGAGAGATAGAAACATCAACTATGAGAGAGAATCATGGATCAGCTGCTCCTGCACACCCCCTACTGAGGATGGAGCTCACAATCTGGGCATGTGCCCTGACCGGGAATCAAACCCTGACCTCCTGGTTCATAGGTTGACGCTCAACCACTGAGCCATGCCGGCTGGGCTACAATAATTTTTATAAAAGAAAAATAAGTATATGGGTAAAATATTCCTTAAGAACTTCACCATCCTACATAATAAAAAGCTAATATGCAAATTGACCAAATGGCAGAACGACCGGTTGCTATGATGTGCACTGACCACCAGGGGGCAGACACTCAATGCAGGAGATGCCCCCTGGTGGTCAGTGCACTCCCACAGGGGGAGCACTGCTCAGCCAGAAGCTGGGCTCTGTGGCAGCGCTAAGGATGCCTGACATCCCCCAAGGGCTCCCAGACTGTGAGAGGGCACAGGCCAGGCTGAGGGACCCCCCCTCCCACTCCCACCCCTAGGTCCCGCAAGTGTACGAATTTCCTGCACTGCGCCTCTAGTAAATCAATAACAGTGGTTGCTCCTGGAGAGAGTAACAGAGGGGCCAGAGCAAGGCAACTTATTTTCACTGTATACCTTTCTATACCTTTTTAATTTTTTACCATGCGTGTTTGACATCTACGTGGAAAGATAAACTAATTTTTATTAATTCTTTAAATAGAAAATTATCCATCAGAAACACATTAAGAAAAAGTAATCAAATTTTTTAAAAAAAATGTATTTCTTTATTGGTTTCAGAGAGGAAGGGAGAAGGAGAGAGAGATAGAAACATCAATGATGAGAGAGAATCATTGATCAGCTGCCTCCAGCATGCCCCCCACTGGGGACTGAGCCCGAAACCCCGGCATGTGCCCTTGGCCGGAATCGAACCTGGGACCCTTCAGTCTGCAGGCCGACGCTCTATCCACTGATCCACGCTGGCCAGGGCAAAAGTAATTAAATTTTATGAGATGTAGAAGTCATATTACAATCTTTTCCATTAGTGTTATTTTG